GAGCGTGCTGAGAGGGTGCAGGGGCAGGTGTGAGTTGGGACTTAGAGGAGGAAGAGGAATCAGCCAGGTGGCAGCCCGAGGAAAGGAGGGAGGCAGGGGGACTGTCAGCCCAAAGGCACGGAGGCAAGACACTGCCTGGAGGAGCTGGGAGCTATAGGCCTGGCATAGCTCGTGTGCAGGAGAATGAGACACAGCTGGAAAGGGCCCTGGATGTGACATGGTCAGATGGCTGCTGGGTGGAGAATGGAATGGGGAGGACAGGAGCCTGTTCAGAGGCTGCTGTGGTCACTCAGATGAGAGACTGGGGGAGGACGGGAGAGGCAGATATGGGAAATATTTAGAAGGAAGATTGGGATGTGGTGAATGGAGGTGCCAAGCCTAGAAGCAGGGAGAAGAGCTGGTTTTGGAGTTCCGCTGCAGGCACGCTGCATTTGGGGTGTCTGGCATCCATCCACGTGGTGTCTTGCAAGCAGGTGGACATTTGCACTTGGAACTCAGGAGAGAGTGTCCATGCTGGAGATAGAGATTTGGGTGACACATGTGCAGGCTCGGTGGCTGAGTCCCCGGAGTGGAATGGATGAGGGCCCTCAGGGAGGGTGGAGGGGAGAGAGCAGTGGGCTAAGGGCACAACCCAGGGGGCATCACCACTGCTAGGGTGGGCAGAGAGGGAGTGCTGAGGAAGGGAGGGGTGGAGTGATGGAGAAGACCCCCACTGCTGTGGACAAAGGAACAGCGTGTCTCCAGGGAGACAACAGGCAGTTCACGAGTCCACCCTCATGAGAACTGGGCATGTCCACCAGACGTAGCAACCAGGTGGGCACCATGGCCTTTTCGGGAGTAGCTTCAGGGGCAGACGCCAGGCCACAGGAAGATGTAGGGGCACCAGCTGAGAGGAGGCAGGCTTGGGAAGAAGCCCCTATGGCAGCCCTGATCAACTATGTCACTGTCACCCCTTTTCATGTCTCTCCCCTAAACAGATGGAACTTCAAGAGAGCAGACATTGCTTCTATATATCTTTGTGTCTCCAGAGAAAAACCCAATTCATTCAAAACATTCGGTGCGCACCTACAGTGCTCACCACACACTGTGCTGTGCTGAGGACCTACGGTTGAGCCTCAAACTTCTGCTGGGTGCACAATAGGTCCCCAGACTGTGCAAATGAAGCTCTGGGCCAGGCTCTGCCTCCAACCTGCTATGCGACCTCAGATGAGTTACGTCATCTCTCTAGGAGCTTCCTCACTGGCAGTGGGTGGACTTCTGAAGCTTCTCCTTGTGACAAAATGTGATAATTCTGGGACTTCTCTGCCTGCTGCTACATTGTTTGTTCACCGAGGCCTTGGCATTGCCAGCAGCCTGAGGTGGGGGTGAGGATTGACACTTCCCAAGACCTCCGCACTTAAGGATCCTCCAGCTCATTGTCCTGATCACCAACATCCTTGGCCACAGGTCCCCATTCAGTGTGGTCCACAAGACCCTGCATGCTCTGTCCCGTGCCAGCTCTCTAGCATCACCTCACACCACACCCACTGGCTTTCTGGGCTCCTGTCACAATGGTCTTCTCTCAGATTTTGTTCTCCCCACAAGCCTTTCGGCCTCAGGGCCTTTGTGCATGCTGTTCCCTCTGACTAAACACCCTTCCCTTAATTTCTCACCTGGTTGACTCCTCTTCATTCTTTACTGCTTCTCTCAAATGTGGCCTCTGCAGAGGCATCTGGGATCCCTGGGGAACAGTCACACCCCTTGACACACCTCCAGAACACCCTGTGCTTCTTCCTAGCTCTTGTACAAATGTGGTTAACCAAGTAATCAGCTGTTTAATATCTGTCCAGTTCTGCCCTTGGGCTCGGGTGAAAGGGGTCCCTGCCATGGCTCTCCTTCTTTGGAAGGCTCCGGTCTAGAGCTGTCTGCAGGAATATGTGGGGCCCTCTTGGGGGTCGGTCACGCCTTTCCTCTTAGACCATGCTCCTAATATGTGGGACCCCAAATGGCCCATTCCCTCAAGGGTAAACTGTGTCACCAGTGGGGTGGCCAAGTAGCAGTTGGTGGCAGAGACGCATGAGCAGTTTGCACCCATGGACTGGGGTGTCCACATGAGCCTCTCCTTGAGGCAGGATGGCTCTGCCCCAAGGGTGGGAAGATAAGGGGACAGGCTGAGGGCCAGCGCCAGCTCTTCTTCTGCCACCATACTTGGGTGTGGAATGTGGAAAAGTCCAAGAAGTTTGCATTAGAACCTGACTTCCAGGTCATTATCAAAGTACATTTGTCAAAGTAGTTGCTTTATTTAGAACTTTTAAATATATAAACATATGGCATGAAGCCTCCATGTGTACTCTTGCCCTGGCCCTGCTGGCTTGAAGGGTGGGCTTGGGTTGGCCTCACTACTGGACCATAAGCTCCACCAGGGCAGGCAGCATGTGCCGTGCCCCTACCCCAGAGCAGTGTCTGGCTGTCTAGCTCTTAATCCTGTTCCTGACGCCAATTGTCTAGCTACACAACTGTGATGCTCCGGCTAGGTGACCACGCCAGTTGTCGGGCTCTTTTACCTGATGGTAACCCTGCACCAACTGGGCCGATTGTTGAGCTAGGACTGGGTCTGGAACTCCCAGACTCCTCAAGCTCATTCACAGACTGGGTCACAAACCCTTCATATGCCAGGCTGGGTCACCAGACCCTACACATGCCAGTCTGGGTCACCACACCCCTTCACCCAGTTCTATGAGCTAGGTAACCGGCCAAAAGGTCCTTGGAGCCATAGTTTGAAAAGCCATAGTTTGAAAAAATAAAAAATAAAATAAAGAAGAAAAGTATCGACTAGATTTAAATCAGAAAAACAAAGCATAGCCAGGAGCCCTCCAGGGTACACCTATACAGAACAGAAGAGGGCTCCGAAAATCAGAAACAAAGCATAGCTGGGAGCCTTCCAGGGTGCACCTACACAGTAGTGGATATAATCCAACCAAAGAGCAGAAGAGGGCTCAGAAAATCAGAGAAAGGAGAAGAGAATAAAGCATTGCCTTGTCAGAATTTAGGCCAGGGACTCCAGGAGAGATCTACCAGCAGCAGAGACATGGGAGCAAAACAGTCCCAGTGGCCACCTGCCTCTTGCAGCTAAAGTCCTCTCTGGTGCCCATAGCTTTCCAATTTTTGCCAGTGATTAAATTAGGCTCTTGGATTCCAAAGTCATAGAAATGAACAATGTACCCAACAGTAAAGCAAGCAACACTTTATTAAAAGAGGAGATAGACAGGGCCGGCCCATGGCTCACTGAGGAAAGCATGGTGCTGATAACACCAAGTCAAGGGTTAAGATCACCTTACCAGTCATCTTTAAAAAAAAAAAAAAGAGGAGATAGACTTATGCATAAGGGAGGTAGCAACCAAGGGGTGGTGTTTTAGTCCTTTACATGGAAAGGAGTTCAGGGGTATAGGCCAGCGTCACTGGAGGTGGTCCATTCTGTTCTTCCTGGTTGTGACATGGGCACATGCTCAGTAGGTCCAAAATGGCAGTAGTGTTCATTGTCACCCCAAAAGGGTCATTGTAGCAGTCACCTTGATATTTTGTGCACAGGTGGGAGTTCCTAAAGGGGTCTTTTTTTTTTTTTTTTAAAGATGACCGGTAAGGGGATCTTAACCCTTGACTTGGTGTTGTCAGCACCACGCTCAGCCAGTGAGCTAACCGGCCATCCCTATGTGGGATCCGAACCCGGGGCCTTGGTGTTATCAGCACCGCACTCTACCGAGTGAGCCACGGCCGGCCCACCTAAAGGGGTCTTAAGGTTAACCTGTAACTTTTACAATTATAGTAAACAAGCCTTGGGGAGGGGTTTTGCAACTCAGTAAGTATGTTTCCTCCCTTATCTCAGTCTATGTTGTCAGGGCAGCCCATGGGGTACATCATTTGCCCTGAGGGTCTCATGACTGAGGAGTGGAAAAATAACAAAGTGTCCTCAGCAGGGAAAATAGAATCAGTTTGGTTCACAGGCCTAGCCTTACTGTTTCACTGCCCCCACCCTGCAGGCCTCTGCCAGCTCTTCAGGGCAAGTGGGCGCCAGGTAGGCATACTTGACACCCAGGGCACTGGAAGGGGCTGGGGGGCTTCTGCCACTGCGATTTCCCCTCCCCCCAGAAAGAGCAGCTGGGGCAGCTTCCCTCTTTGCCTTCGGGCACCTCTGCAGGCCTAGACAGAACACACCCAGCTTAGTCTCTTTGCTTGGCCCATGGACCCATGCTGGGAGGTTGGGGGAGAGCTGAAAGGATTGATTGCCCCGCCTTCCAGGCTGTGCTGTAGTGTGGGAGCCTTTGCTGGTGAGTCTTGTCACCCGCAGGATCCTGAACAAGTCACTTTGCCTCTGCAAGCCTCAGTTTTCTCATCCGTAAAATGGGATTGTGCGTGAAAATTGTGCCTGTCAAGCGGCAGGTGCAGGGTGCTCATTTAGTGCATAGGAAGAACCCTTGCACAGAACGTTAATGGCTCGGGGAGGGCAGAGGCGGAACCCCAAACAGGAAAGCAGATGAAACCAATCCAAAGCCAGCCTGCAGGGCTCTGCTCAGCTGCCCACTCTGGGGGCTAGGGTCAGTCCTCTTTTGGGAGCAGGGACATTGTCTATCACTGCTTCATGACCTGCACAGGGCCGGGTCCACAGGGCTTCCGTGAGGGCCTGACCAGGTGAAGTCCTGGAACCAGGAAGCCCCTCACCAAATTCCTCCTCCCAGCACAAGCCGTCCCAGAAAACACTCCCTCTCCCCCCACTGTCGCCCACGCACAGTAGGCGGCGCTGTCAGGAAAAACAGAATCTAACCCCGAAATAGGACATGCCAGGGGGGGAAAAAAATCACAATTTGTGAACGGCCCGCCAGGGGTCACCATACTCTCGGAACCAAGGGGTGCAGAAATCACACCGGCCAGCACACGGGTGGGAGGTGGAGAGTCTCAGAAAGTCCAGTGGCTGCCCAGCTTGTCTGGCGGGACCACGGTCACCGCCCCCAGTCCCAAATCCGCAGTCAGTGCGGCGGGAAGATTTCTGAGCGCTGCTGCAGGATGAGCTCCACCACCTGGTTCTGGAACACCATGGTCATGGGCATGTTGGTCTCTTCCGTCTGGGGCCGCAGCAGCGTGAGCCAGAACCCCATGGCCACGCTCTGCACCGACATGCGGTTCTGCTCGCCGTGCTCGATCACCCTGCGGCGGGGGTGGGGCAGGATCAGGTCCCACAGCTATGAGGCTCCTGCCAGGACCCTCCTCCTACTCCCGCGCGGCTCGCCCCGCTCACCCGCACAGGTGCTGGAAGAGCAGCCGCAGCGCGTCGTGGTTGGGGGCGGGCAGCGAGCGCACTGGGTCACGCACACGGCGGCTGCGCCGGGCCTGGTCCTGCAGCTCTGAGAAGGGACGGGTCGGAGGGTCGGGACCAGGGCCACGGGGGTGCCCCGAGCAGGCCAGCTCCAGCCCTCCCCCATCTGCCCCCTGCCCCCAGGTGCTCACTGATGGCCGCGGTGAACTGGCGGAAGTGCGAGAAGGGGAGAGGGGCTCCGGCAGCTCTCGAAAGAAGAGCTTCAGGGCGCCCGTGATAACGTGGACGTCCTCCCAGCGCCCATCGTCCAGGTCGAGACGCTCACCTGCGGCGGGGGCGGAGAGGAGGACGAAGGGGAGGTCAGTACCCCTTCGCGCCTTCAGGCCCAGGGTCGGGGGCAGGGCTGGGGACCGGCCTCACCGTGGTCCACCTTATAGCGCAGCTTCTGGGTGGTTGCCGGGTTTCCACTGATGCGGTACAGCCCGTCGATGTCCCGCCCTGGAGCAGAGGGAGGCGCTGACCCCGGGTGGGGTGGGTGGGG